CCAGTCTGAGGTCAAGAGCATTCTGAAGCAGGTTTTCATTTCAGGATGTTTTTGTACATTGCTACATTCATCTTTCCCTCTATTCTGACTAGTCTTCCAGTTCCTGCTGCTTAAAAACATCCCCACAGCATGATGCTGCCACCACCATACTTCACTGTAAGGATGTTATTAGCCTGGTGATGAGCGGTGCCTGGTTTTTCCAAACGTAACACCTGGCATTCACTCCAAAGAGTTCAATTTTAGCCTCATCAGACCAGATAATTTAGTTTCTTATGGTCTGAGAGTCTTTCGGATACCTTTTAGCAAATTCCCCACAGGGAGTGGCTTCTGTCTGGCCACTCTACCATAAAGGCCTGATTGGAGGATTGCTGCACAGATGGTTGTCCTCCTGTAAGGTTCTCCTCTCTCCATAGAAAAATGCTGGAGCTCAGACAGAGTGACCAATCAAATGTTAAGAAAGAAACTGACTATAGGCTTTTTTTGTGAAATCCTTTCAAGCTATTTGTGATGTAAGTGACATTGAATTGAAATTAATAAACTACTTCCAACAGGCTTTCTCAGGCCACAATAAAGCTTGTCCTCAAACTTTAACATCTAGTTTCATTGTGAAAACAAAAACTTTCAGGCCTTTTGAAAAAAAGAATTGCCACTTCCCATTTTATGAAGCTCAACAACAACAAATCACAGCTTTGTTATTGCCCTTAACCATTGTGATGATTGGTAACTATTTGTTACTTCATATTTATTGTGAAATACATAAACAATTCTACTGTTCCTAAAGTCACTTGTGTCATATATCATAAGGAATCTATCATTAGGAATATATATTTTTGTTTTTTGTTTTTATTAATTCATAGGGGTGTCAATAATCACACACACACACACACACACACACACACACACACACACACACACACACACACACATCTATATTATTTCCCATATAGAAATCTATCTATAGGACTAAAAAGTTCATCATCAGCTTTGTAACAGAGCTTTGATTACTCCTTTAAAAGTCTTGTTTTTCTTTGTATGATGATGTTTGTGTTAGCATATTTTAGACAATCTGATATTATTATAATCTGACCTCAGACACGTTGCTATGAAAATATACAGATAGCCAATACGATGTTGTGTACAACAAATCAACATAGCTTGATATCTATTATTCATTGATTTCTATAAGTCTATCACATGTTAAAGACGTACGTGTAACCAGACACCGTCAGCCAATTTCAGCAGCTGCAGGCTAATTTGCAGGAGTACAGCTGCATTCAGCACTCATAGATTGCCTTGTTTGGAATTTATTGCATTTACGTCACACATGTCCTTAGGACATTTTCTTATCCTTACAACTAAAACAGTGTTTATTTTTACTATTATAAAGGATGTAGACTTCACCATCTAGAAGCTATCTGCAGTTCTTTTAGATAGATTAAGTTATTTGATTTTGTAATAAAGGAAAAAAAGTCTTCAGTAAACCATTAGTAAGGTGCATTATATGTATATACTCTCTTTAAAAAAAGTGTTTTTTTGTTTTGGGTGGCATGGGGGACATGGTGAGACTGATGGCCCCGTAAAGAACATTTAACATCTATGAAACCTTTTTATCCCACAAAAGGTCCTTCAGGGTTCAAAAGGATTCTATAACGGGATCTATAATGAATACATAAGTGAAAAAAAAGATTAAAATCTATTAAAGAATTCAATTTTAAAAGAACACAAAAATGTTTGCTATGGCAAATATATAGTCAACATCTGAAGTGGATCCAAAATGTTTTTCAAAATTGTCTTGAGACAATTTAATATTTAAATAATTTTTGTTCAATAGTTTTAGGACAACTTTGATGAAAGGTGATGATCCACTTCAAATGTTGACTATACAGTGTATTATGAGTGTAACTGTTACCAGCAATGTGTGAAATCCGGGAAATGTATAGAATGCATAAAATCGACAGTCATTGCCTAGGCATTCTATAGACTACAGAGTTGCTATGTGGCTAAGTATGTAACTGGCCTACTAGCCACTGATGTTTGCGGTGACGCTTTGGTCGTTGTTTGATGATGGCGATCGAAGCACTTGAGTGTTGAACATTGAACGTTATTGTAAGACAGCATATTGCAGGTACGAGGTTCCACAACCACTTGACAGGTAATATTGCCAGAATTTTTCTCACAACGTTCGTGCAATTCAAAATTTCATTCAAGTCTTCCTTGCTGCAAAAAGTAGCTCCTTCCAGTTAAGTTCTGCTTGTTTTCGGTAACAACATCCTGTCCTTTTTATTTAGCAACTCTTCACTAATTCATGAAATATGAATGTGCAAGATCAAAGTGCCAAAATATTAACTTTTTCATATTCATATATTTTCAAAATATGAAGTATTCTATACATTTCCTAGGCTTTCTATACAATACCGGGATTTCACACATTGTTGGTAACATCTAGTACAAAAAAATATTAAAAAATTACAAAGAAATAGCAAGTAAATTACACAACAGAAAGCTCAAAAATGTATTTTCACTTAACTTGCAACAATAATCTTTCTATAAAATATTGTCATAGTGTTTATAAAGCAGCTACATGGCTGTTCTGGACTGACTATAAGATGATAGTGGTCTAAAGGATGTTATTTTTGAACTTTGTCTCCTGAAAACAGTTTCACAGATAATATAAATGTTCATTTAAGCTGTTTATCCCTATACACACACAAGCAGGATGTTATCTATCCTTTTAAACTAAAGTGACAGATACACCCTTTGTTCTTACCCCATGCAAGGCATGAACGTTGACCAGACATCTTTAGCCTCTACAAAAAGTCACAAAAACAAGTCTATGGAACTTCACTCCGGTGATTAATAGGTTTCTAGCTTTGTTGTAAAACATTTCTAAACCATGTTAGAAGGTGTATCCTATAAGGTTTTTATATTATTCAATGAAAATAAATGGTTTATAGTGATCCTTTCCAGCAGCTGACGTGTATTAAAACTAAAGTAATTATAGGATCTTGTGCTCTTAGTTGGTGTATCATAGTCAAATGATAATAAATGTGGTTAACCACGCGTGATTAATAGGTGGAACATGTTTCTAACGGTAAGCTGCATACAGGATATGTGTGTGAACAAAACAAGATATTTGAAGGTGTTAAGCGCATCAGTATCTCCTAGTAAAACCTGAAGGTATTTTCGTAACTGCTTTGCTACTGTTGCGGTTGGAGGCCCCTCTGGGACCCTTCAGTATAGGTGTAAGGTCATACAGAGAAGGTGTATGCCAACTGGGTCACATATAAGGCAAAATAACACTTACTTTTTAAACAGTTTATTTATAATTGTCCATTGTATTAATATAATAGTTGCCCAGTTTGACTACTTATTGGCAGTGCAGGAAAGACTACTGAAAAATCGCATTTAAGTAAAAGTACTTGTCAAAACAAATGTAGTGCAAAAAGAGTATCTGTTACTCAAAGTGTAAAGCACTTAAAAGCAGTGCTTAAAAGTAAAAAGTACTCAAGAGCAGTGAGTATTAAGTCGTGAAAGATTGATTCGTTTACATGTGGAGTGAAAAGTCTGGCTGTGTCGATATGTTGACGCTTAGGTTATGCACTTTGAACCTTGACTAACCCTTCATCTTTTCATCAGTGACATGCAGTCTAAACAGCCTCTTGGTCAATGCCTGTAATGATTTTGCTTTTTCTTTAATGCTTCCTCATTGTAAAAGTTTTCTGCTTTTATAAAAGCATTTGTGTCTTGAGGTCGGTCTGATGCAATTTTTCTATGGCGAATTGACAGGATGGGATTATTATACTTAGCTAATGATTGTATACAAGAAAAACTAAACATACAAAAGTAGTGACTGCAGGTTGAAGGTTAAATAGTAAAGTAAAAGTATCAACACAGAACTAAAATGTACTTAAGTAAAAGGTTTAAAAACCTACTTTAAATCCTAAAACATTTTAAACCAACTTAGCAAAGTACAATTCCTGAGTAAAAAAATACTCAACTATGATAATTTCAGTATTTGTTAGGCATGGGCCGGTATTAGATTGTCTTGGTATGATAACCTTGGATAAAAATATCACGTTATTATGAACACTGCTCCAAAATAATTTATTTTTAAATGTCTGGGCAAAAAATAAACAACCATTTTCCCTTATTGAACACAATATATTTTATATTAAGAAACATTTAAAATATTTTGGACCAGTAGCTTTTGATGTGAAGGTTCCTTTTCTGCTGGAAGTACTATAAAAAAAAAAAAAAAACACATATACCTTAACAAAACATTGTCGGTTTTAAAACCTTGACTTTTTCATACCGTGGTAAACCTTAAAATCGCTTATCATCCCATGTCTAATATTTGTAATTCATTAATTTACACAACTGCTTATTGGTCATGAGGATTTTTGTGATCATCAATAAGTTAATAACACACTGAAAAAAAACTAAATTGTTTTAAGGTAAATTGTTGCAATAAGTTCAGTAATGGTCAACTAAATTTGTTTAAATTCGGCCAATGTTAATACAAAGTATGATTTTGTTTGCTGTGCAGATGCTGATGATATTATGATCACTGATATTTTAATGACATTAGTTCTGTGAGATACAAAACATCTCTTAAATATTCTGATAGCCCTATGCTTGATGAAACTGCCCTTAGTGTAAAGAATTTCAAGCGAAGACAAGGACGTATTCAACAGAGAAATCAGAGAGGTCAAGGGTGATATATTGAGGCTGATGCTTACAACGAAGGAGTAGATGGCTCACTTGAAGCCCCAATAAATCACTAAACTTGCCATCTGCAGTAGATCTGGAAATTATATCAGGAGAGGAAGGCATTCCTTACCCATTAGTCCTAACCTTAAATGATGATACATCTGGCAACCTGCCCAAGATCAGAGAAACAGAAACTTATTGCTATGCTTTTCGAATATGTATCTTGTGATATATAGCCAATGTAGACTTTTATTACTATGTGAAGAGTGAATAACCAAATCACATCTATGCTTTGTGAAACAGGGTTTATTTAACTTCCACTTAATGTGGTTCAACAAAGTTATGTCAGTAATGTGGTTTAACAGTGTTGTATCAGCAATGGAGTTTAAGAGTAATAAACATGTTTGTAGTCAAGCTTATTTATGAGCATGGATATTGTTGAAAAGGCAGAGCTTACAAGCCATGAATAGCGATGGACTGAATTAAATATTACTTTATTATGAAATAACAATGAGTTAAGGCATAGACTATTCATGAATTAGATTATTAATGAATTAGATTAGAACTCTATTTTTATGTGCCTGAGTAGCGAGTAAATGCTGGGTGGTTGTGACCCAATCCTGGGTCAAATATGAAGAAACCAAAAATTGGGTAATTTTTTTTTATTAAGCGTATATACTTATTAATATTAACCCCAATGGTTGAGTATGTCTCTTTTTGCTTCATCTATAGAAAACACTCCTTCCTGTCTTATTCACCAGGCACTTTGTTAGAAACACGTCTATGTTTCTGTCTGTAATTTAAGTCTTTAAATAGTTTATATTTGCATTTATTTTCAATTGCATAACTTCTATTTCATCATAATTTAGATTCTTATTGTTATTATTTTTTTAAGGTTACAAGTGGTTGTGTAAGCATTTCACTGCATATCATACTGTGTATGTGACAAATAATATTTAAATTATATTTTTGGGTTACAACAACCCAGCAATTTTTAGACTGAAGTTGTTCTGACTCACAAAGAAAAAAAAAAACTGTATTAATAATCATACTGAAATATATCCTATTATGTTGCAATATACATGTACATTCAATTGTCAGTTTGTATATTGGTATTCCATACTTATTTGTTCTATTCTTCATATTTACTATTGTTGACTTGCTTTCATATTAGTGTTTTTCGTCTGTCATGAAAAAAATAAAAGTGCTTACTCTAAATCATTATAATAATAGTAATATCTTCAAAACACTCAAATATCTATTACAATGTCAAATATATTTAAAATAGTCTGTTTGTAAATTTGGTTTAAAATATAGATTTTATTGTTTAGATAATCTTGTGTCTCTTGATTGATGATGAGTAGGTTTAGTTTGAGCTTATTTGGGATGACTTTGGACGTATTGTTTCACAGTATCAACAATAGTTGAGACCTCAGCCATGGCACCTTTACCTGTGAAAATAGAGGGCAGACTGTAACATGAGCTGAAACCAATGAAACATCACTTCCTTATAATCAAGAAGCATGCTAATTATCTAATCAGTTTGATCTTTAGTTAACAAAATATTCATGTGTGACTTCACACATTGTTTTGAAGTAGTCCTTATCAATGCAACTGGCTCATAAAACCATTACTGTATCTTAGAAGATACCTTCATCTCCACAGACGAGTTTTTTGGCAATGCATGGTATCTCAGCGTAGCCAAATGCTTTAATTGTGGACACTTGCTGAGCAGTAATTGGATGCTGCCACATGGCTGTGTTCATAGCAGGACAGAAGAGCAAAGGGCGGCTGATGTCCCAGGCCCGCACCACACACGTCTGCCATAAACAAAACTGGTAAGCACACTTCGATGATAACGCTTACATTGAAAACGCCACTGGAATGTAATAAACAAATTACCTACCAGGAGGTTGTCACATATACCACTAGCGATTTTGCCAAGTGTGTTGGCATCTAGTGGAGCGATCACTAAAAGATCTGCCCAACGTCTTAATTCAATGTGAAGAACTGGGTCAGAGCGCTTCGTCCACATCTAGCATAGAAATATGAGGAAAGCAGTCAATTTAAATCCTCTTATAGGAGCTTTTTTAGATGATGTGATTAGTCTAGGTACTGATGTAAACACCACAGCAGGAAAGAACACAAATACAAAGTTGTTGTTTGCAGTGAAAAAGAATCTCTTCCCCTTTAAAGGTAAAACTCACCTCCCACTCATCCTTATCTGTGTACACACGAACAGGGACTTCATTGATATCGTAAAAATGAGTGGCATGGTCTGTGGTGACCACACGCACATCAACCTGAACAACAGAACAGGACAAATATCTGGTTACCTCACAGAGAACCCATCTTTGAAACTTGAGTTACTCTTAAGAGATGTATAAAACCGTTTAAAAAACATTAAAAGTTAAGAACAGGGTTATAATAACTATAATAAAGCTGTTATATAAACATTTTGTTTTTGATTTTCTAGTCACATATTATTTATTTCATAAAACTGACTAATTGGTCTAATAAATAAAAGAAAATTACAACCTGAAAAACATTCCTTTTATATTTATTTTTAATAAATGTTTTGAAAAGATAAATGTTGTTTTTTCATTTTCTGAAAATGCTCTCTTTTAAAAAAGTCTTTTAGAAATAGCTTTTTTGAATGTCAAAAAAGAAATAAAAAAATATGATTTTATAATTGAACAACTATGATTTTAAATACAGGTTAAACTTTCATTTTTTATTAGAAATAGTATTCATTTTTTCATCAATTTTTATAACCCTTAAATGGGGAGAATAACAATATCCAACATCAAAACAAACGTAGGGTAATGATTTACAATTCACCTGTATACAGGCTTGTAGCCAAAGCGGTTTGGGTAATTCTAAAGGCCCACACCTCACTTAACAATTGTTCATTATTTGTTCCATACATGAGCTCATTTGTCCTATTTTGACTGCTATGCCATCATAAATTGTTTAAACAAATCATCTAAAAAGGCTTTAAGACCCAGCGGAATCCTCTGCTGGCTTTTGCTTCTGTGTGACTTCAGCTAATCAGTTGGTTTTGACCAATGCAAACAATTCTTTTTTTATATTGAGTCCAACATCCAGCTGTGCAAGAATATATGCAATCTGACTTTCAGTACTGACCTACTGTATTGTTTAAATAGAGAAAACATTTAGGAAGTAACTTTTATTCTAAATCTTGGACCTACTCTTGAAAAAAAAAAAAAAAAAGGTGTGAAGCACCAAAAGAAGCCCATATTGAATTAATTCGAATACTTATGAGAAAGGTTAGAAAATTCATAAAGCTCTATAATATTATTATTATTATTATTATGTAAATGGACAAATTCTGATTGGTTCTTTTTTTAAATTACAAATTTGTTATTTGTCAATAGGTTACAGTTAAGACTCATTTTTTTAATGATATTGGAGGAACATTTGTATTTTAAGAATAGGTATTTATTCATATTTTTTTTTAGTATTTAGTATTTTTTTTTATATTTTTGATAGATCAAAAAGTGATGACCATTCGACAGGCTAATCCAGCTAAAAATATTGCTAAAAATATGACTAATATGAGGTATATAGATCAAACAATTACATAGAAGATGAGGCGAATAACTGCATAAAGGTCCCCTTTTTGAGAAAAAAGAACCACCCCTTTTACGAGGCTGCCAACGAGCCTGTGTATGCTTGCTTATTTGAGATAAAATTAAACTAATACCATTTCCTTCTTTTACATTTTTCATTTATTAGACTACTATAGACGACAAGAATATAACTTGAACAAAATGTTTAAAGAAATAGCACTCTCTAGCGGACAAATGTATGAAATGAAAAGACATTGGAAAACATGAACTCAAAGACATCCGTGTCTCTGTCAGGTTAAGTAATGATTTACATTTTGTTCTGTCTATGTAAACATACTCACCTCAGGAATCTCAAGAAGTTGTTTAACCAACAAAGGCGCCTTGAGTGCAGCGACACTGCCGGTCAAACCTACCAGAACATGAAATCTTGAACCAGTCTTTTGCAAGTCTGTTTGTAAATGATCAGATTCAGAGTTCTGCTGCATTATAAACACACTATTTAATATACTTGTTAAAGTATAATGCTTTAACTTTAGACTGAGTGAACAACCCGAACAAAGTTTCCTCATATAAGATAACTATTATTTATATAATGTATTGTCAATATGTAAACTGTTTCTCGGATAAGACATTTTGGACATTTATATTACACATTTACTGCGCGTTAAGAAGCGGTGCACGTTATTAACCGTCGCATATTTTTCAGGATTTTTCCACTTCCGTAAACATTGGCGTAAAAGCGGTTATAAACGGCGTCACAGCGCCTCCTCTGACTGGAAGAGTAAGTGAAGCTGACAAATGGATAAATCAACACACGAGTTTTGCATTCATTCATTCATAATTTTCCTGCGGCATAGTCCCTTTATTCATAAGGAGTTGACACAGCAGAATGAACCACCAATTATCCAGCATTTGTTTTACACAGCGAATGCCCTTCCAGCTGCAACCCATTTCTGGAAAACATCCATACACACTCATTTACACACACTACCGCCAATTTAGCTTACCCAATTTACCTATAGTGCATGTCTTTAGACTTGTGAGGAAAACTGGAGCACCCGGAGGAAACCCACATGGACTGGGGGTGAACAAGTAAACTCCTCACAGAAATGCCAACTGACCCTGGCCAGGACTTAAACCAGCAATCTTCTTGCTGTGAGGTGACTGCTAACCACCGAGCAACCGTATCGCCTTTTGCATTTTCAATGAAAATGAAATATGATTTAAACTTCCCCAATAACAAGTGTGACGCGATAAAAACTTCACAGGAGATTTATCCTATATATGAATGCCTAAAAGTGTATAAATCTACAGTGTATGGTATTTTATGGTACTCATTTAGCTCATAATGTTGCTAAAATTCTCTGGCAAACCATTTGCCAGACATTAATTAAATCGTTATTAAAATGTTGCCTGATTTGCTATTTTATTCATCTTTTTTATCCCTGTAAAATGTTTAACTCTAAACCAAAATAATGATTCAGATCAAAGTACTTTTAACTGAATTCTATAGTCTTTGTTCTGCTTGGTCTTGAATGGTCTTGCTACCTTTAAAAATGCAATAAGGGGTTCAGGAGAACAAAACAGGGAGTCAAAGCAGGTTGCATGAACAAATAAGGCCTCCAAGGTATTTGAAAGGAAAAGCGGAACTAGGTTTACATTTTTTTTTTTTGTATCTCTGAGTTGACACTTTGATTAATGATGAGTATCTGAGCTAATTTTGCCCATTTTTTAAAGTCTTGTGCAATGAAATTCATAAATAGTGTAAGATAAAGAAGAGGACACACACATAAATAAATAAAGAAAAGGAAAATAATGTATGTAACTAATCAAAAAGACATAAAATGCTATAAAGAAAAACACAAAAAGGTGATGCATTATGGAATTATTTATGGAAAAACTCAAATAGTATTTCAACTTTTTCTACATTTTAGCAAACTGCTTGTTAGTGTTGACAGAAAAAGTCAGAGAGAAAATTGTTTTGTTTTGGTTTTGTTAAAAATGTGCTTTTATATATTATAATTAAAATTGGAAAAACATCAAATTATCTTACAAAGTGTTGAGACAATATCTGATTTGAAACAAAGAATTTGGATAACTCAAACCAAAATTCTCTGATAAGGGAACTCTATCAAATTTGTGAGTGTAGTTTCTACACTTAAGTAGGCCTATATGGGGCATTGCCTCACAGCAAGAAGGTTGCTGGTTCGAGCCCTGGCTGGGCATTTCTGTGTGGAGTTTGCATGTTCGTGTGGGTTTCCTCAGGGTGCTCCAGTTTCCCCCCTCCAAAGACATTAATGAATGTAGGCTAGGCCTATATTTTCTAATTGTGTGTGTGTGTGTGTGTGTGTGTGTGTGTGTGTGTGTGTGTGTGTGTGTGTGTGTGTGTGTGTGTTAGAGACCACATGGACATTCTCTGGATGTGCAATTTATATTAACCATACATTTGTTTGTTTTTCTGCTAGTGACTGATGACACAATATAAATGTATCAGTTTTATAAAAAAATATGGCAAGATAACAAATGTTACATTTTAGACAATTAATAATAACAATGTTTTACTTCAAAACAGAAACGTTTGGAAAATAATATTGGTGAAACATCGCAATCACAACAAATAAAACGTGTCATTTTGACCTATTTTTATTGTCTGCCAAAGAAATATAATACGTCATTCGCAGTGCTACGTGGGTAGTGTAGTCAAAATACTGTATTTAGACAACCTTTCTCTTTTTCACAATTTTAAAAGCTGTGTTTTTAAGATAAATGTTTGTGATTAATGTGTTGTGACTCGTGTAATTAGACTACAAGACTTATTTTAGTTTAGAGATTTTCTGCGGAGTTTTAAAAGAAAATGAATGAAAGACTTCCTGGAAGGGATACAGCTGTGATCCGTCTACCCTCCGACAGTGCAGCCAGACTCTTCTCTTATCCTCACCCCACATCTAAACCTAAACACAACCATCAACAACTATTATACAGAGTATTATTCATATTATTTATCAAATTACCAATTGATCTGTATCGTATTAACATCAACTTCTACCACAACCCTTACAGTAATGTAAAAGCAGTAATTATACCGAGTAGAGTATTATTCATACTATTTATAAAATTACCGCTTAAATTGGATATGTATTAACGTCTACCTTAACCCTCACAGTAACTTAAAAAATATTTATTATTGTATAGTGTCACAAAAAACTATGCTAAGTTAGTGTCCGTAGCTGTATCCCATTTCTAGACTTTACCGATAAAGTGGGCGGTGGGTGTTGTGTCACGCGAGCGCATGCGCATACGGAGAAAATTCTGGACATGACAGAATTCTAGGAAGCGTCTTCCGGCTGCTAGTTGCAAGGTCTGCATAGCCTGTCATTCATTGTTAAATCTTTGTTAAGCTCATATTAATGTAAATAATAGCAATGTCGGCACTCACACCTCACGTGTACTGGGCGCAGCGGCATGGGGAGATTTACCTGCGCGTGGAGATCAGTGATGCTCAGGTAAAAACAACTTGCTTATCATAATAACTAATGCACTGTATGCTTAAGCAGCTCTTATTTTCCATGTGTTGCAATCAATATGCGCAAGTCCAGGTTGTAGGTATCAAAGCTTTAAAGCTGAATACTGTTTATAATGCTATTGTGTAGAATAACACCAGCTTTTGTGGGTTGATAGCAGAGCTTGAAGCATCAAGCCTAGATCACAGAGAAAACAGAGATGAAGATTACTGAAAGGGTGATCAGGACTTGATCCTACTGGCCCCACTAACCATCTGGCCCATTTACAATGACAGATAATGTTTTATTTACAACCAAGGAGGAGAAACTGCCCCCTCATTGTTTCTCAGGGCAGGATAAAGCATGTTTTTAAAGGTAATGTGAGAAACGGCCTGCTGCCACTGAGAGCTGTGGGATAAAAGTGATATTATAACATGCTAAGAAGCTGTTTTCCATAGTGTGTCTGCAAATGTCAAAACACAAAAGGATTAAGACTTTTTCCAAAACATTCATATTTATAAAAGGACAATTATTTTGCACACTTCTTAATATAAACCCTAACCCAGTTCTTCTATAATAATATTTTAGTAAATGTATAATTACCAAATCACACCAATTTATCCGATTTATCTTTTCTATTCTTGAATTCTATGATAAATTGTGGTATATTTGATATTTACTGGTATTTTTGAGGTAAGACTATACAATGGTAAAGGTCCATTAATTAATGTTAGTCAATTAATATATATATGAGCAATATCACACTCGTAGCATTGCGATATGACTGTATATCGGCACTGGTGAGAGGCGTGCATTGGCACAAGGTCGCAAGCGGAGTGCCTTAGTGTCCCTCTGTGATGATATACAGCCATATCGCAATGCTACGAATGTGATATTGCGTTTATACAACACTTTGACAGCATAATTGTGTCTATAAAAAAGAAAATCAAACAGAGAGTCTAAAAATCCTTTTGTATGATGGACCACTTCCGCCATTCCTTCACATCTGCAGCGACGTCAGAACAGCAGAAATCGCTATTTCACCAGTGTCACTTTACAGTAGTAATGATTCTTAAGCATAATGTCTAAAGCAGGGGTTTTCAAAGTGTGAGGCGCGCCTCCCCTGGGGGGTGCCAGAGCATGTCAGGGGAGGCGCGGGAAAAAATATAATAAAAATATAATTATTAAGTTTAATTATTATATGTATTTTTAATTATATTTAAACGTTTTAATTAAACAAAGCAAAAAAAAATAATACGTCAAATATAAGAAAACCTTTTGAAGTTCATGGCCCTTTGGCCGCCGGGAAGAAGGAGGCGGAGAACCGATGCAGTTTTAAAATGATTTATTAATAACAGTGACGGCAGCTCCTCACGGAGGCTGCCGTCTAAACCAGAACAAACGGACGGCAGCTCCTCACGGAGACTGCCGTCAAACCGAAAGCAATAGTAAATTTATGTCCGGGCCCGGTCCTCTCTCGACTTCCTCTGCCCTCGTTCCTCCTTTTATGATCCAGAGCTCCTTCCATGGGATCCGAGGCAGGTGCGCACCGCAGGTGTATCCACTTACGCGGTGGCCTCACTCCGTTCCCACGGCTCTCGGCCACGCCCCCTCGCCACAAAAGCCTTCAAGTTCAGGGCTTAAACCCAAAAGACGACGAAATGATGATCAGTATTTCAGTTTAGGATTTACGTGGACTGGATCAGCTGATGAACCACGACCTTTATGTGTGGGTTGTCAAAATATTTTGGCTAATGACAGCATGAGACCCGCTAAACTTCGACAGTTTTGACTGGGATGGACAGTTCTTGGATCTGTATATATGTATATATATATATATATATATATATATATATATATATATATGTGTGTGTGTGTGTGTGTGTGTGTGTGTGTGTGTGTGTGTGTGTGTGTGTATGTGTATGTGTGTGTGTGTGTGTGTGTGTGTGTGTGTGTGTGTGTGTGTGCGCGCGTGTTTGGGAGGAGGGGGGCGCCAATGGATAAGTTGTGTCAAAAGGGAGGCCCACTGTCTTAGACTTTGAAAAACCCTGGTCTGAAGTGATGAAAAAACTGGTTGTTTTGCTCACATTTTAAGATTATACGGCTAAACAGCATGAAATGCCATCAGTCTAGAGACATTTCCCAGAATTTCTCTGTTGCAACTGGGAGATCACAATAATTAACTCTGAAAAAGCCAAAGCAATGCAAACACTACCAATTAACTGTTGTCCTTGCGGTAAGGAAAACCCTAATCACATGCGGACATTTCTTCTTTCTTTCTGTTTACTGAGCTGGTCTACAGTAACAAAACCAGGAGACTTATTAGACAAACAGATAGCCAGCCAAAAAGTAACTCAGGGTTATACAAAGAGTGGCTAACACCAACACGGTACTGAATTTATTTATCTGCTGTCACTCTGTGGGTGGAATAATGCACAAAGGGGAAGAGGCTGTATATATGAGCAATTCCCTGCAAATGGAATTTGCCATGCCATGAAAACAATTTCAACCTTGCCATGAAAACAGTTTCATTTTCACCAAAATTCGGAAACCGTTTCCAGGTTTTTTTTGTGTAAGCAAATTATTTTACAGTTTTTTAGAAATACTCAAAAATGCATCTGTCAATGTTTTCAAACTATACTATTTGATTTACCAAAGTCATACAAGTGGCAATTTCACCTCTGTCACATCCATAACGGAGAGATGTCACATCCATAACGTCCTCATAAATGTGAAAATATTAAATAAAATAAAATCAATAATTTTTGCTTCATACAGAGCAAACTCTTATTCTTTTGATTAGCATTGTTTCTTTTGGGTTTTGCAGTTTAATTCACAGAATTTTTGCAAAGTGTGTTGTGTACTGTAAACTCACAGACTTTTTTGTCACATCCATAAAGCATGTTTATTTTCCTCATTTAAAGTACAAGACATGTTTACAGATTGATATTGTTTTGGTCCCAGTATATGTTAACATATACTTTCTATGCGAATTTATGTTTTGAGTTTAACTGCAAATGTCACATCCATAACGCTAGAATTGCTCATACACACACACACACACACACACACACACACACACACACACACACACACACACACACACACACACACACACACACACACACACACACACACACAGTTATTTAAATATAAGTTCTACAAATCAAGCCATTAATATATTATTAAAATCAGAAGCTGTATTTGCTAATGTTGAAATGAACATTATTAAGATAAATAAATTGATTAGGGGCAACTTATTTCCATTTAATGCAGTTGTCTTCTTTACAATGTAACATTGCTGGAAACTAGCATATTCAGGATATATATAAAAGGTCTAGAAATCCCGCAAGTGATAAAAAATTTTAATAAATGTGAATCATTTATTTATTTTAGTTTTACATTGTTATCTTAGCCCCTGGTTAAAAAAACTACAGCTATAAACGAATTTGCACAATTTTTTAAACCTCAAGATCTCAGTTTCTTGAGGAGATCAACAGTTACAATACCTTTCCTGTAAAACATAAAAATCCGCATGATGATGGTAGTTGAAGGACATTTTACACTTAATAAAAATTCAGTCATTTTTTTCATTATTCATTCATTCATTCATTCATTCATTCTCTTTTCGTCTGAGTCCATTTATTAATCTGAGGTCCCCACAGCGGAATGAACCGCCTTTTTAATTTTTGATATTATCACTTTATTTAAAGGATTTTATACATACATACATACATACATACACACAGAACAAAACAAACATTGTCTCGTACTGTAGACATACAACGGGGAATAAAGGAAAAATAAAACGCATCACAGTCAAAAAACATACAGTCAAAACTTGAGAGGGTATATAACTTAAACCTCATAGGTTACTGGATTGCAGTTGAGTTATAGATTTGTTAACTAAACCCAAGTAGCCAAAAAACTATTTTTATGGAGCTAGTCTTAAGAAATTTAAGTCTCTCCATCTGACTAACAGATATCTTGTTGGAAATCCAGTTCTGGAATGAAAGAGGGTAAAAGTGATTTTTCAATTGTTAAGCGCTAGTATTTTAGCCACGATCATGCCTTGCATTGTTTGAAGGATTCAGTCATTTTTAAAAGCTATTTCAAATTATGTCATGGGTATAAAATTAATTAAAATTGTCTTCCTAGTAACGATAAACAGCTAGAAAAGTGTTTTTTAAATTATGATTTTAGTTTATTTAATAGGCACCATGCAGTATAACATCGCTACACTTTAAAGTAGTTTAAAGCAGCTCCGCAAATAGGCTCCTAGCTATTGGCTAATTTGCATTCTTAGTCCCTGGTTAGGCTTTTTATTCACGAAAATAGTACAAATATGTTTATAATATCCTTATAGAGAGATACATTACCAATAGAAAATATAAATACGAAAAAGAAAACTGCATGACAATCAGTGTTCACCAACCTGATTTAGTTTTAAACACTTTTTAAACTCTCTTTGAAATATGTTTACCTTTTTAGTTCAATTGACAGACTTTACCAAAGTAGTGTACCTTGAACTGAAAATGTTTATTGTTCAAATATAGTTTTTGTGTTTAGTACTGTGTCGTTCTTATATTAAATAAGGCTTTATTATTTTATAACTGGACATTATAATATCAGTTTGATGCTCAGTGCATTTGAAGTCACTGATAGGAGTTAGAGGAGGAGCTTGAAACTTCTCTTTTTTTGAGTCAGTTTCTCTCTCTCTCTATCACACAGGATCTCAGTATTGGTGTAGAAGAGAACATCCTCCAGTTTAGAGGTACGTCTCACAGCTAACCATCAGCATGAAGCTTTTCATTCTCAATTGCCTGACTTCAGCATAATCTGCTCTTTTAAAGGTCAAGGGCACGGTGCTAAAGGAGAAAATGAATATGAATTCAGCTTGGAGTTCCTAAAACCTGTTAAACCTGAGGTAACGACATCATCATATAATCAACATTATAGGAATTTGCGAATATAAAATATTTGGCTGCTCAATGAGGTGTTTGGTGAAAAAGCAGAAGTGCAGTTAGTTTGTGTTATCTATGGCCTGTCAGCTTCTTTAATGTGTCTTCATCAACATAAAAATGTCCACAGGTAAAACACAAATCCACTCAGCGGCAGGTGAATATCACGGTAAGGAAGCAGGAGGAAGTGTGGTGGAATCGACTCACTAAGCAGGAGAAGAAGCCTCTGTTTTTGGCACCTGATTTTGACCGCTGGTTGGATGAGTCAGATGCAGAAATGGAGCTTAGAGAGAAGGTAAAGAGGTTTGCTGTTTACTAAAGCTGTGAGTTATTGAAGTTATACTCGAGGAGCGCTGTACTGTAGCAGTGCGATGTGTTAAACTAGTGTTTATTTGACACAGGAAGAGAAAATAAACAAAGTCAGCTTTGAGTCAAGGGTTCGTAAGGACCGTGAGTATATTTTTAATTCCATGTAAAGTAAACATGGCAGGGCTTACCAAATAATAAGCATGCATTCATTACTCATTTATGTTACTGTGTTTGCAGCTTTTCTTGGCTTGAAAAAAGGGTTTCTCTTTATGTACAACTTGGTCCAGTTTCTTGGCTATTCTTGGATCTTCGTCAACATGACTGTACGTCTGTTCATTCTTGGACAAGGTTAGTCCGTTTTTTATTTTTTATTTTGTGTTATAATTTGCAAGCAGGTAGTTGTTGTTTTCAGCTGTAGTTGTTGTCAGGAAAAAGCATCTCATTTGAATTTTGAGCTCTTATTTCATTTGAGTTCTGTTATGCAAATATGTATGTCTGTATATATATTTAGATACATGGGTAAAAGACAAACAGGTGAATCAGAAAATAGTGAAAATTGCAACAGAGATTCAAATGTTTCTGTACAATGGAACATGCCCAGCTTAAATTTTTAAACATTTTCAGAAATAAATAATTTTAAATTATTAATAATAATAACAAATCTAAAAACACATTTGTTTAGCTGTGCGTTTACTGATAGAGCACTTTGTTACATTCCACAAATCACAATATTAATTCAATTTTACTCCCAGGACCGTTTTTATCGAAGTTGATATTTAGCCGCACCATATTGGTGTTTCATAACAATTAATTTTTACGAGGTGGGTCATTAGCCCAATGCCCAACCCCCAACCTGGAGGACCAAGACACACACTATGGACAATTTAGCCAATTCACCTATAGCGCATGTTTTTTGACTTGCGGGGGAAACCGGTGCACCCAAAGGAAATCCACGTCAACATGGGGAAAACATACAAACTCCACACAGAAATATCAACTGACTCAGCTGGGGCTCAAACCAGCGACCTTCTTGCTGTGAGGTGACAGTGCTACCCACTGCGCCTCGGAGCAGAAAATTGTGTTGTTTTATTTTGAATTTCTTTCTCTTTCTTTCTTTCTTTCTTTCTTTCTTTCTTTCTTTCTTTCTTTCTTTCTACAAAATTACCATTTTGTAATAGATGTGCTGCATAAATAATCTTTAAAAAATAAATAAAACTATCATTTACAGTTATTTACAAAAAGAACTAAATAAAACATTGTTCAGAGTAACAATAGATTGAGAAAATCTTGTTAGCATAATTAAAACAAATCTTTTTCATTCATTTATTTATTTATTTTTTGGCTTAGTCTCTTTTTAATCAGGGATTGCCACAGCGGAATGAACCGCCAACTTATGCAGAATCTCTGGGAAACACCCATACATTCTCATTCACACACACACACACACGGACAATGTAGCTTACCTATTAAACTACACTGCATGTCTTTGGACTTGTGAGGGAAACCAGAGCACCCGGAGGAAACACACGCGAACAATGGGAAAACATGCAAACTCCACACAGACCGTCACTGCGCCACTGTGACACCCCCAAATCTTTTTATGACATAATAAAAAAGGATCTTTTTAGAAGGATACAAATATTATTTACTTCATTGAAGAAGTGTGAAAAATAAGTGCATCCGAAGTCACATACGGTCTCAGTAGGTGATATATTCAAAGTAGAATAAAAGAGATTGAAACAGTACTTCCACCATTTTGTTCCTGTCATGTGACCTTCCAGCATAAGTTGCTCTCCTGTTTTTCATAGGATAGTAAATACCACATTTAATATGCACTTCAGAATCTCAGTGATAGTACACCACCTGTGTTATTATCACCTACAGTCTTTCCAATACTGCAGTATGTATTTTGACTAAACAGAAGAGAAGTATTCAATGTCAGTCTCTGTTTCTGATTTCACTATAGTCCTTACTGTTTAGGGTTGCTAAGGTGTGAAAAGTTTTCGGTCAATTTCTAGAAAAATTTCCATGGTAACTTTGTCTTGGGATTTTTGAAAATATTCCAAGATGGTAACTTTATTGGAATTTATTTGAGTTACTTTAGAGGAATTTAGATAAACAGTATATAAGGACTTAACTATAAATATGTTCATAAGCTGACATGCACACAAACTAATGCATTTTAAAAATGATATTTTTGACTGATTTAAATTGTAAGTGGAACATTAATTCTTTCATTGAGCGACACAAAGTATAAGTATATACCCCTATGTTTGCTGTAAATGAAAAAATAAAATCACCTAAATGTTTCCTCGGTCTGTGTATTTATTTGTACAATAGTCAATTGTGGTGCACAATAGCTAGTTTTATGTTAAAAAAAATTATTTATATAATTTAAATAGTCAGATGGAAATGTTTCACAGTTATTTTAGAAAATCTCTGAAGATGCAGTGCTGACTGTGTGCATAAGATTTGAGGATTATGCAGGGTAGACTATTGCATGAAATGCTTGTTTTAACTGCTTGAAAACTGCTTGTTTTAACCAAAATTTTAATATTAATATCGTGCAGTAAGATAATGTACAGTAATATATTCAAATATGCAGTAAAATATTTTTTCAGTTGCAATTAAGTTATACGCAAACCTTCGATTCACCAAATTCAGTTTATTACTAAAAATTCTCATATATTTCCATGCACATTTTCTAGCCTTGAAAATTCACAGAAATTTGCAACTCTGTTACTGATTTTTCCTCAACCCTACAGATTCTTTCTACGACACATTTCATACCATCGCTGATGTGATGTACTTCTGTCAGATGCTGGCAATAATGGAGGTTATTAATCCCGCTGTGGGCTTGGTAAAGACTGGAGTCATGCCAGCTTTCATTCAGGTACATCTTTTTTCGCCTGGTGCTTTAATGACAGATTAAATTCACTTCTTTAAACTATATATAGTAAATATTGAATGTTTTCTTTTTAAAGGTGATGGGGAGAAACTTCATCCTTTTTGTCATATTCGGTAGCTTAGAGGACATGCAGAACAAGCCAGTGGTGTTCTTTGTGTTTTATCTGTGGAGCACGATTGAGATATTCAGGTAATTTTGGGAATCACTTTTGATGAGTGTGTTACGCGTGCTATCTTACAGACAGCATTTTGTTTATTTGGACCACTGTTTCTGCTGGCAGTGAGGAAATGTTGGTGTTTTTATCTACAGGATTTCCTTTTCCGTGTCTTCTGAGGCTGATAACTAATAACTTCCTGTTTGCAGATGTTTGCTTATCTAAGGAAATACATTTATTCTTCCTAAAACTGAGAAGTAGAACCTAAATTGTACTTACAAAATATAAAAATACCTCAGAAAGATATTTAAATAAGTTTTTGATGCTTGATATGTGTATTTTGGGGTCATCTACATCTCAGTAAGTATCGTGTCATTTTTGCATCACTGGAGCCTTTATTTGTGGTGCAGTTTTATATGGTTTACAGAATATGGAGGCTAAAGACAGTGGAGAGTTTTTAGTCTTGACTCTTTCATCATTGGTGTTGCGTGTGTGTGTGGTTTCTGTATGGTATCAGCTATTTCACACTTCTTCCGCTAGTGTGATAAAACAAGTCATTTTGTCTGTGGCCTTATAGGACATGCATCAGTGTGCTACACGAGTATATCTGCAATAGTAGTTGCTGTTATACAGGGATTTATACAATTATTCACTTAATTTAAAATGAAATATCTTTATTCAAGTTAATAATGGAAACTACTGAGGTCATTAAGTTTTTCGCATTAAGCTGACCAAGAGAGGCATTAAAAACAATATTTCTATTTTAAATCCTGAAAATACTTTTGGGTAAAAATGGACTGTGGTGGAAACCGGAGCACCCAGAGGAAACCCACGCAAACAGGAGGAGAACATACAAACTCTACACATAAATGCCAACTGACTTAGCTGGGGCTCGAACCAGCGACCTTCTTGCTGTGAAGCGATTGTGAAAGTACTGTTCAAATGTTTGAGGTCATTATGTTTTATTAGCATTAAACTGACCAAGGGAGTCATTAAAGATTATATTTCTATTTTAAATCCTGAAATCATTATGGTCACACGTTAAAATGTTTTAGATCAAAGTTAGCACATTTCAATGATTTCCAAAAGATGTAATGGCTTTTGAAAATTCAGCTTTGCCATCAAGGGAACTATTATATTTTAAATATAAAAAGGTTATTGTTTAGGGCAGTGGTTCCCAAAGTGGGGGTCACAGAACAATGTTTGGGGGTGGGGGGGGTCGCTTGGTGATTTAAAAAACAATTAATGAACTAATAGAATTACCATATTTTAACCATATGCTACAGAAGATAAAAAAATAGTATTTACTAGTTACATAATAAAACAACATGCACATAAGCATGCCATCAGCCTTTCAAATTTTTTCCCTTTGCATTGCGACCCCTGCGGCATTTACTTTATATTAATAATATTAATTGTATTATTTAATTAATTGCATCATTTACAGCAGATTGATTTTACAGCACCATGGTAAACTTTGGCACCTTTACGGCACTACATGTACATTAAAAATAAACTTTTTTTTTTTAAGATTAAAAAAATCCTACACGACTGAAGATAGAGGATGAGAATAGGATGTTTTTAAATTGCTAAGAATAGTCTTGTGCAGTAAACATTGTGCCCACTAGTTTCATAAAATAAGGTTAATGTTACATTAAACAAATGAATAAATGACAAAAAAATCATTATTACTGTTACAGTTGCACTTTTTTGTGTTATTAATAAGCTTGTGCTTGTATAGGCCTATTGGTGTGTGCACCATTGTCTGCAATGGTTGTATGTGTATATCCACCTTCAAGGATAGCAGGGGTCACGAGTCACTAAAATTGTTATTTTGGGGGTCATGGGCTCAAAAGTTTGAGAAGCCCTGGTTTAGGGTTCCCATGAGTCATGGAATTTCTGGAATATCATGAAATTTTAGAAGGTCTGTTGCAAACTTTAAAAATCAGGAAATTTGTATTCATTTTTGTCCAAGTCATGAAATATCAGTGATTATTTGTTTTCTTTATATTATAGTTTCCATTTCTCAAACTGTACATTTTTTCTATAACATATTTTTATATTGCACTGTTTCATGCCTATTCTTATGGTTAGGCTATATTCATCTCCATTTTATTTTCAAGGGCAACCCCTTAAGTCAAATGCAGCACAAGACTAATTTAAAGAATGACCGCTTCAAAGACTTGAAATTAAAAAAATAGACGACAAAAAAGCTCAATTTAAAGTCTTAAGAAATATAACAAAATTTCAAAAGATGAGGTACATCATCCATTGTTGTTTTAATAGTGCCTATTAAAGTCCTGCAATATGATATTCAAGCTACAACCATTTTAATATTATGCAAAGCATACAACAACTGCAGCCTGTTTTTCCAATCATTAGATGCCATGGAAATCGGTTTTTTAGTCAGAGATTTTGATATTTGGCTTAAAGTGGGAACCATGGTTGTAATATTTGTTTTAATTGTATTCTTGATTAAATATATGCAGCCTTGGCCAGAATAAGAGATGTCTAAACCTAATGTTTTCCTATCTTGATTAAAAAACAACCAAAAAAACAAAACAAAAAAACAAACAAATGCAGTACCTTTGTTGGAAGATGTGTATCATACTAATCCGACTTCTGAAAAAATAAACCACAGGTATCCCTTCTACATGTTGGCCTGCATTGACACTGAATGGAAGTTGCTGACCTGGTTGAGATACACTATATGGATGCCGCTGTACCCTCTTGGAGTGCTGGCTGAAGGTTTGTTTTCTTTCTGTCAATGAAAATTCATGTAACATGTAACATACTACAATGCACATACTTAACTTTTATTCGGCTCACTTGTGTTGTTCACAGCTGTGGCGGTGATCCAGTCCATCCCCATTTTTGATGAAACCAAACTCCTCAGTATTCCTCTGCCTAAAGCCACTGGCCTCTCTCTCAGCTTCTCCTACATCCTGCAGCTCTACCTGGTAGTCATGTTCCTGGGTAAGATCCACAACATACATGCAACAAGTACAACAGTGCTAGCATGGTGTTTCTCAATCACTTGTCCAGCTTTTTCTGATTTAGTAGTCGGATTTTTAAAAATATTTTTAATAAAATTATAAATTAAATTACTAGCCACATTTATTAATTGGGTTCAAATTAAAGGTCCCATGAAATTAAAATAAAAAGTTATTTTAGATGTTAATAACAGTATTGTTAGTTTTTAGGATATCTATAAGCTAGTGGACCAAAACAGTGACAAAATTCATGTAGAGGATATAAAATTGAAATAAACATGTAAAGCTTGTAGTTTGTCACTTCTGCCCAAATGGATCAGCGGTTTTAGTCACGTCACCTCATACTACAGTTTCTCATCAAATCTTGACCAATCAAATGCTCTAGTATCTGACATACCCCGCCCCCTTCAAGATACTTCACATTTGATGTGCTAGAGCTCAACGTCTCTCACTGGCAGAACGGTGATAAAGCAAAACGCTATTGGCTGTTTAGAAAGGGGAGATGCTACACTGTCCCACTCGCTAAGTTCTGCAGTTAATCTGTGAGCTACAATGTAGAATGCTTAGAAAAAGAAAATACTTTAAAATGATTTTAAAATGTGTTTGGTTAAATTGTAATAACATCAAGCTTTATATACAATTTTTCCCTGATTTTACCTAAACATTGAAATTAAAATATACAGTAACTGTAATAAACAATTATTTGTGTGTGTGTGTGTGTATATGTATGCATGTATGTATATATGTATATGTATATATATGTGTGTGTGTGTGTGTGTGTGTGTGTGTGTGTGTGTGTGTATATAATGTATATATATATATAAATGTATATATGTATATATATATATATATATATAAATGTTTCAACCATGTCTACAATAATTATTTTTAAAATTAATTCAAATGTAATTTTGTAATAGTTACATACATAATATACACTGTAAAAAGCAATTAGTTACTTTAAATAAACTGAGTAAACCAGTTAAACTGACCTAAAACTGAAAAACGAAAGTTAAGGTAGTCCTTTTTTCTCCATATCGCAACTTACATAAAAATTGAAATGATTCCAAAATAACAAGGGGCTGTTCATGACTTCATCCTTTGATAGGTCCTCCCAAAAGGCATTCCATGTGACCAGAAGTGAAGAAACGTTGTTTCAAGGGGCAGGGGAAATGATTTGATAAAAGATTTTGAGAGCAAATAAATTTGTACAAAACAATAAAGTGCATATATATGTTGTTTATACCCAGCACTACTACTTCTACTACTACCTCCCCACACACACACACGCACGCACGCACGCACACACGCACGCACGCACACACACACACACACACACACACACACACACACACACACACACACACACACACACACACAAGTATGTGACAAGTTGACTCTCGAGTAAACCTTTTGTTGGAACTGGTAAGTTGATTTGGCCATTTTTTTTTTATAATTATGTACCTAGTTCATTTAACTTATAATATGGGAATAGATTTACTTAGAAAAAGTCAACTAATCACTTTTTATATCTCTAGTTATGTTTCAAACAAGTATTTGGTAAACCCTTACAGTAATTTGTTAATATCAAAAGAGGATTTACCTTGGCATTAGGCGTACCTAAATCTGACTCCAAATATCTGCGCTAAAAATAAATTGCGATTACACATGGATCAATTTGAGATATTTTTCTAAAATTTAATTGTTATTACATTTTCTTGATATTTTCAGGTTCTTGACTGTAGAAACCCTGTTACACTGCCGTATGAAATTAATAATTCTTCATTTCAGGCCTGTTCATCAACTTCCGCCACCTCTTCAAGCAGAGGACCAGACGCTTTCGCACAAAAAAGAGGAAAGCCAACTGAGAGGAAAGAGCAAGCTTCAATCTCCTCCTGCGTCTCTGATTTCATTTGTCGCCTTCATTCTTTTTTTCCTACATGTCCTCTTTTACAGTCAAGTCATTACAGAGGGAAAAAATGTTTTTAAACTCAACTCAAGTGCATTTACTGTCACCACACTGAAGGACCATGACCGATTATGAAACACTAGAGGGAGAAATATCATATAATTTTAACCTGGACCATGAAGGTATTTGTAGATTCTATCATCTCCTCTGTTTGCAGTTTTTGTGTTTGATGTTGTAGATTAGCTTACTCGACTGAAAACACAAGGGGCATTTTATCTCATTCCCTGAAATGTGTTGTAATAGTCATTTCAGTTGAAAACAACAAGACAGACCTCAGGGAAAACCTCACGGAAGAGGCAATTCAGTGTCACTGGATGTGGGATATGTACACGAATGTATAAATGCAACGGTTTAATTAAATTTCAATGAAACAAACAGTTGATTCCTGGATTACTATCATTAACTACAGACAGTGAAAATATTATTAGTCAATGCTCAAACTTATTTACACAAACTGCATGTTTTTTTCCTTCCTTTTCTCGAATTGAGTGCTCAACGTCATTATTGATCTCACTAAAGTCCAAGGTTTCCTTTTGTTTTATATCGATCACCAAAGAAAACTATTATGGCACCACTAAAACGATGCCTCATTAGTAACAAATTTTCTTTTCGGACAAACATTTCACACAGAGCAGAGTTTTTAAAATAAAGCTCCATTCCTCCAAATCTGATCTGGCAGTTGTACCTCCATCCTCTAGATTCTGTCGCCACCTCCGCCTGAGAAGTCAGTGAGCATTGGGGTGATGTTGTGTTCGAAGGCGGCGTATTTGGAGTCTATGCTGCTGGCAAGTTTAAGCTGCTGGGCTGCGTGTGACAGCTGGAAGGCGGCATCGGGGTGGGCAGAGTCAGGCAGAAGAGTACATTCCCTTTCCAGAAGCTCAGCCATGCTCTTCAGGAGCTCCCAGAAACCAAATGCCAGAGCAGCTTTCCGAAGACGATTTAGTTCCTGAAGTAATTAAAACACAAATGTTATGCACAGAAAAAACAGCTCACATATACAGTCCAAGCCTGGATTTATTCATATCCCTAGCCAAATTCTGACTTTTAAGTTTTTGTTTAAAGTCTATGTGAACCGGAAGCTATGACCAATTGTTATTTTGTATTGTGAAGCAGTTCCTAATGAAAGGGAATATTAAATGAGAAAACAGTGGGTATGGCTTGTTTTTTCTACTGCGAGCTGATTAGAGGAGATATTTTAAGCTAATAGACTCCTCGTCCTTTCCATTTGTTTGTTGTCAAAATTGACAGTTGTTTTTTTTTTTTTTTGGGGGGGGGGGGGGGGTTATTAAATTATTATTAATAATTTAATAATAAATTATTATGTTAATTAAGTTAACATAAAGTAACATAAATTATGTTAGCCACACCCATAGCCTAAGATGCATAATCTGAGAACTTATTTGAAAACAAATAGGAAGTGCACTTTCAGAGTTCAATTAATGATTAAGAGGACAAACAAAATACAATGATGCCTTTTGTAAATCCTCTTATTACCTTTAGAGGGAAGCCAGAAAAAATACTTGTTGGTTGAATAAAAGTAAAAAAAACTTTCCAGGGGAGTATGAGTGATTTGGGGTTTAACTGCATATGCACTGGTGTCACGATTGTGCAGTGGGTTGCATGATTGCCTCACAGCAAGAAAGTTGGTTCCCCCACAGTCCAGAGACATGCAGTAAAGTTGAATTGAATAAACTAAATTGGCTGTAGTGCATGTGTATGATTGCAAGAGTGTCTGGTTGTTCCCTGGTGTTGGGTTGCAGCTGGAAGGGCATCTGCTGTGTAAAACATATTCTGGATAAGTTGGCGGTTCATTTCCCTGTGGCAACCCCTAAATAATAAAGGGACCAAGCTTAAAATAAAACAAATCAATGTATATGCATATACACATTGTACTTTTAGGAATATCAATTTCAATGAGACTAATATTTAAATTTACACAGACACTAACACACACACAAAATAAAATTGTAATATACACACACACATTCCAAAAGGTCTAAATAATTTTTTCCCCCAAATTTCTGATAAAAAATAGTGGCATTATATTCAGTCAGAATTACAAATGCTGTTATTTGTTGAGATCGAAAATAATTTTTTCAATTTTGATGTAGATTGTCACCCATTGGTAGGGCCAAACGGAATCTGCGGACGTTTTTTTGCTATTACTGCTGAGAATTTTTGTAAAAATCTGCAGATTTCTGCTGAATTGTTTTGAGAGTATCATAACTAAAACCCTAATATATATAATAAAAAATATCCTTTAAACTTTTATTTAATGTTTAAAATGCAAATCTAATTCAATCCACTTTTTATGGTAAACAAAGCAAGTCTCTCATATAATACCTCTACTTGCAGTTTCAGTCACTTCTGTATTAGATTCACGAGGGAGAGCGGGAGGTTGCCGCTTAGTTAAAACACTGGAATTATGCTATACAACTTTATTTTGTGTGAGTGTATACAATTACCCACCTTATAGAAGGTTTGTGTTTTTTCAGGTAGTTTTCTTGCATTGCGGAGAATTTTCTGTACATCTGTCTACAAGAAGTACAAGAAGTGATTAATGTCATTAATCTGTGTTTTGTCAGAGATCCAGTATTTGCAGTGTAGAGTTGTGATACCTGCAGTCCACTGGCTTTAATCCAGACAGTCACATTCTGAGCATAGCTCCTCTTGTGTTTCGGCTGGATGGGAAAAGGACTTTTACTGTCATCTTCACCATAGGGATTTTCAGCTGCATCTGCAAACAAAGAATCATAGTGATGTTCAGAGATGTTTATACCGTTGGCCAGTAAGCAAAACCTTATGCAAATCAATAAGCTGATGTTTTTAATCATGTGTGTGCGTGGTCTGAGTAGAGCTCTAGCCTCGGAAGGAACTAAAGCGTGAGGGTGGAAAATAAATATTTAATCATGCAAATGTGCGGCACTACTGTTATCCCTGACCCTTGTGTATTTACCTACAAGTCTCCTAACTGAACTCGGTGAACGTCTATGTTACTATCTTTTGTTTCAGTGTTTTAATTTTTAACTGCTTGCACACACTGCATAATGCAAAACAAAGCAGTTAATTGTTAATTTATTTCATTTTAACATGTACATTTGCAATTTAAATGTGCACTGGCATTCAGGAGTTTCCGATTGGCAAGTTAAAAAACACGCCTTGTTGTTTCACCAAGGCTACATTTATTTAATCAAAAATTCTATAAAAAACAGTAATATTGTGAAATACTGAAATAAATGTAACTCTTTTCTGTGTGATTGGATTTTAATTATTTTGTCTCTAATTCAGAGTAGAGTTTTCAGCATCATTACTTTTATTACAGGTTTTAGTATCACACAATCCTTCAGAAAGCATTCTAATATGACAATTAGATTTTGCAATCCTTCAAGTAACATTTCTAGTTGTTATCAATGCTTAAAACAGTTGCGTTGGTTTATATTTAATATTTATGTGGAAATTATGGTGGCCGAGAGAGCTTAACATGCTGCAAATTAAGAAGACACATGTAATTACAAAAAACACCAGCAAATTAAGAAAAGATCTCCATCACTCTGACAGCAAACGTGTTGCAAATCCTCACGACGCAAACAAATTAAGAAAACACACTGCTTTTTCTCACAACAAGTTCAAATAGCACGGAACACAATGAAAATGTTTTAAGAGGACCCAAGAACGCGATGGAACAGGCAGGGACTTGTTTATTGTGCTGTGACTATTGCACATACCTGCCAACACTCCCATTTTCCCAGGAGTCTCCCGTATTTCAGACCCATCTCCCGCAACCCTTCTATTTTGTTATTTCTCCCAGAAAACACCTGTAATTTTACCACGCCCCCAGTCTACAGCTTTTTGGTACAGTCTGTAACACCCCCGGGGTCTCCAACTTTGGTATAGCATCCAATCGCAGCAGCCGCTCGAAACCTAGTCCATAGTTCAGTTGTTGTACTAACATCACAGTACAGTTACTAACTCACTGGTTCTCAACTGTGTTATTCAGACAAACACACACCGCCACCCCCTTAACCACCCCCCTCCCCCATTTACTAGCCTAAATAGCCATAACCTAAATAGCCAGGTGTGTCACGTTTTTGGATCCCTTTAAAACATTTCTGCTGTGTTCCGTTCTATTTCAGAATTTGATGTTGACTTTACAAATATTGTCATAACTAAGAAAACAAATGGTTCATATTCCTCAAACCACAAGAAAGGAATAGTGGTCACCCTAATATTGTCACACATTGAAACTGTATGCCATCTGGTGGTGATGTTTAGTACTGTGCCCAAACCAAATCTTACTGAAACTCTTTGAGATATCAACTTCAAATTTGGAATATATATTTTTTCAGATATTTAGCTTGGATGTTCTGTCATTTTTAGGCTAAAACAGGTTTCGAAAAATACATATTTTATGTAACACATTCAAATAAACATTTATTTTTATAATAAAAAAAAAACTAAAGGCTTTTTTTAATTTTCTTTAACTTTTTGCTACAATCTGACATCTGTGTTCTTAACATTTATGCACCAAAGTGTTGATTGCTAATCATTTAAGTTGAACATCTCATTTTCATGTCAGTGTTCAAAAAGTGGGGGTGCCAGCTAAGGGCTTAAGAAGCTATTTTTTTTAAGCGTGACGATTATTTAAAAATTCCAAGTGAAAACATGCTACCTGAAGCAGGACCAAGCTGTGACATTCTGCCTAGCCAGGGCAGAGGTTCAGAGCCGGGATCAAACAGAGACATCATGAGGTTGGACTTCTTTTTACTGTCTGCCTGGGAATAAAGCATGCCGTACCAGTCCGGCCTGATAGAAGAAACATGCATTCATGAGCACAGAAACTTTTATTACAGTACAATGCTTATAAAAGCGAAGACATGTTTTTTTTCTCATTTTCATACCCTAGCTGTACAAGTGCCACCATGCCCTCCACCTTCAGGCTGCCGTGTAGAAGAACACAGAAGTTTGGGCTTTTTCCAGCCATCTGATTTGTGGAGGTGTCTTCCTCTGTGTCATCAGTGGTGCCCGTACCTATCTCATCTCCCTCTGTCAATCAAAATTATATGAATGACTGTTACTCCCAGACAAATTTTTGTAAAGCAACCATGTACATCAGTGGTCACCAAACTTGTTCCTGGAGGGCCGGTGTCTTGCAGATTTTAGCTCTAACCCTAATCAAACACACCTGATCAAGCTAATCAAGGTCTTACTAGGTATACTTGAAACATCCAGGCAGGTGTGTTGAGGCAAGATGGAGCTAAATCCTGCAAGGACACCGGCCCTCCAGGACCTGGATTGGTGACCCCTGATACACATGAACAAATATATGAATAGAACTTTAAGTTTAATCTTATGGCTTGGGAAATAATATATATTTT